ATCAGTCATTATCACAAAAGACTAGATATCGTCTATAGACTTTTCTTCTCTTTTTATTATTTTATTAAATTTACTATTTATTTAATTACAAGAATATTTAGAAGTAATACTTACAGATGTAAATACATTTTCAAACATATTTCTTGTTGATAAAAAAAAAAAATTCTGTTTCATTACGAACATTAATATCTGTAAGATTCTATTTCCAGAAGTAAAATTTTAAGAATATTTGAAATTTGTTCAATTCCTTCTTTTCTAAATTTCAAGACTGTGTGCCAGTTGCAACGGCATGTTAATTGCTCGCTAAACTCAAAATATTTGTTCTAAAGTAAAGTTTATGTTAAATTCCCCAGTATGACAAAACTATTTGCCGAAATAAACGTAATAAATTATTTTAAATTTACACCGAGTCAAAGGAAAAATAAATAAATACAATAAAATCTCAAAGTTTTCAGATTTTTATATTACACCTAAATGGGCGTTTTTTTCAAATACAAACACATATACAGTTTGAGAGCATATGGGCTAGCGCCACATTGTGTTAAAATATTTAAAAACAGCATACCTTTAGAACCTCCGATAGACAATCTCGCGCGCTGGAGATAAAAATGTTTTATTCCCTGCAGTGCTGCCACTGCTCGTTTGGTAGAGTATTGAAATTGCTGAGTATTTTTTTTAATCAAAAATTCGTTAAAGTTTCACAAATATGAAGTAGACACTAAAACAAATTCGGACTTCCAGTAGCCCGTTCGGGTGGAGGACTACATTATTCGAAATCTAATGATTCTAGGTACCGTTGTTTTTCAACAATGCGAGAAATATACATTGATTCATGCAGATTCTTCGTTATTTAATTTCTTTAAATATAATACAGGGCAATAATATTTGGTGGCAACAATTTGAAAAGTGATTCGGCGCTTAGTGATTCAACGTGAAATGCCGATTTGAGCCTTCTGGGCTGAAAAAAAAAAAGGAAATATCTACATTTCTCGTTCTATTCGGCCGATTGATGAAATTCAATTTGCATTTTTCATGCCTCGAAAGCGCGACTTATCATACATATTAGATTTATACAAAGCATTGTTCTAAAATATCTATTTTGACAAAAAAAAAAAAAAAAAAAAAAAAAGGAATTTTTCCGAAGTGCACCGTATTTTGATTCTGTTGCACAAATTATACGTAAATACCAAATTTTGCAAATTTTTGTGAGAAATATACAGAGCAATTCGGTAATTTCGTGCGCTTTTTTTTTTTTTTTTTTTTTTTAAATTTGTGCCAAGAATTTTGCCACTTAGCGGTTTTGTGCCACTTAGGGAACTTTAAAATCTATGGCAAACTAGTTCACTTTACCTTCCTGCGTGCCTTCGTGGTTCTGCACGCTGGGTCGGTATTCCAGAGGTCCGTGGTTCGATTCCCGGCGAAGGCGTTTGCTCATTTTTCATCTCTTTGGCTTCCAAAAATTCCCAATGTCTCTACAATTTTAGCTGCAAAAGCTGAAAGTGAATCCCAGAGAACAAATAATCGAGTTAAAACGTACTTCCAAATAACAGAACAATAAAGCATCTCCCAAACTGTTCTGTTCAACCAAATCTAGCGTTTATTCAGTCCCATTTAGGATCGGATTCACATAGTATCGGCTGCAACGTTGTAAGTCATATAATATTGGACAATTTGTAAGACCAGTAACTGACATACTTTAAAATTATCTTCAATATTATGAAAGAAAAAGTAAATATTTGGAATGTTCCTTGTAAGATGATTAATATAAAAATTAATATTTCGTGCATTTTTACACATTTCATTTATTTTATTTACATTTCGTGTATTTTTACAGATTGAATGTAACCCAAACTATCAAACTTTTAAAGCTTAGTTATTTTGTTAAATACTTTTTGAAACTATACGCTACGATATAGTGTATCACGCATAGGATTTTTCCCTTTTATGGAAAAAAGCAAGGAATCAGTCAAAGTATAGTCAAATTCCAATAAGCCACAAATGAAGAGCCTTGAAAGAATTAATATTGAAATTCCATTTTTTAATTAGTATCAGTTTCGATATGATATGCACTTCGACTTTAACTTTACCATTGAAGTTTTAGTATTAAGTAATCACAGTGTATTAAAAGAAATATAAACGCTGTAGAACGCTCACCGATTCAGCATTCTATCGTAATGCAAATACGGCAGGTAATCAAAGAGAAGGCTTGTAGAGGTGTGTTTTGGCACGGCTGTTTGTCGCATTTCTTTATCTTTTCCATGTCGGAAAAAAAAAAACTTTCCTCTGAAAGGGCAGTTTAGTTTTCGGAAGAGTGAAACTAATCCCCGCAAGGAAACAGATCTGGAGGATATGGGGAATGACTGAGTACGCGTATATGTTTTCAGAACAAAGCGGCTCTGCGAACCGGTTATTGAGCATTGAGAAGACGCATTATCGTGCAGTGCAACGCACTTCGAATAATGGTTTCCAGCGAATTAAGATTAAATTCATCTGCTTAATTCTCAGCTATTTAAAAACGAATTGCTCAGCCATGAATTTAAAACTAAAGAAGAAGATTGGCTTTATTGAGTTAATTCCATGCCCTTAAGTGCCCCAAAAATTCATACCCTTAAGTGCAAAACTCACAAAGGTATTCTCGGAGAAGCTACGGACAATTCTTTTTTAAACTCATTTTTCGAATCTTTTTATTATTTAAGGTTGAAGATTTTTTTGACGAGTTATTTGTTTAGGCGATTAATAGTTCCATTTTAATAAAATAAAATAAATTATTTATTAACAGCTGATACCATGAAATTATTAATTATGCAGATATACGTTAAAATATGGAACATTTTTTATTTATTAAAACATAATAATATTTTACTAATTTGAATTCTTATGCTTATAAGAATCATATAAAATGCTAGGCTTTGTATTTTACAGACCTCCCCACGCTCATTGTTAAAACTCTTTTCACAAAATTCTGCAAATCCCACCAGCGGTCGAGCAGTAAAATCGCTGAACACTGGTAGTTTCGATCTGGGTTCGATTCGAGGCGAACGGGCTGGCTTCATGGGAATTTTCGTGATTTTCCCCATGCGTAATATGTATACGAGCCAGTTTCCTTTAAAAAGTCCTCCACGAGAGGTATCCTTATTGGCAGATAGCCCTAGTATACTTTGCCATAATAAACTAAATCAAGCCAAACCATACAGTTCCGTACTATGGGGGCTCTGAAAATACCCAACAGCGACAGAGCGGTAAAAGCCGCTAAACACTAGTAGTTCGGTCCGCGTTTGAGTCTCGGCGAGCGTGCTGAAAGCATGGGCATTTTCATGGTTATTGCCATGTGCAACGTGGATACGAGTCAGTTCCCCTTAAGAAGTCCTCAACAGGGCATCCCTCCCTTTTCGTGTAGTGCCAAATGGTGGAGCACGTAATAAACTGCATGTTCTAAAAGCCTGTCTGGTAAAGAGTATATGAGGTCGATGTTTATTAAAATAAAGCTAGCTTTTCCTGTGCATCTGCTGCTATTGCCAATAAATTTTATTTTGTATATCAAAACTAAAATTATTAAAATAAAATTTCTGTATAAAAATTAAAATTAAAAAAATAATATAGAAATTGAAATTAAAATAACAAAAATAGGAAAATTAGAATATAGATTAATACTTAAGAAAGACATTGAACAGAAATCTTCATTTCTACTCAAATTATCAAGTTAGTCATTTTAATTCCCTGAATTTTTATTAACTAGAAATTTGAAAATAAATTTGTAGCATTTCTTACGAGTGAAAATTCATATAGTATTAGGCTGTTTGAATTTATCGGTGTTAAATTTTAAAATTAGGTTGATGAATTCTGTTTCAGCAAGTATTTTATACGTGAATTTTAACCAAGGATACAAAGAATATTAAAACTTCGATTAACTGAAATTCATAATAAATTAAATATTGAAACTGATAATTCAAAATCAATATCAGATTTTTCTCGATAAGGCGAGTTTTCGATTAGTCTAATTTTTCCCCTTGCTGTCTTCAGTTTCGGCTTATCGAAGTTTGATTGTACAATATTTCTTCTTCATATTCTTTTCAAGTGATACATACCAGAACCTCATAAAGTACTTAAGAATTTTTGTTCTCTTAGGGTAGAGGTGGGGTGTGGAAGAAAAGGATCGATTTAAAACAATGAATTTTATGAAAGTGACCTGGTAACCCTGGCCTCGACCATCACACGATCGTGGTTTTGACTGGCAGCTTGATCAGCTTATTAGGTCAGGATTAGTCTAATTGGCATATGACTATTGTCTTGCCATAGTGACACACTTTCTCACCCTATGTTATAATGCAAGACGGCGTGATTTTAAGTGAAGTTACTTTTTTTTTTTCCTTTTATTTTTATGTATATTTTTTTATTTACTTATTTTTTCACCTGGGTTTGGTTTGATGGTAAAACGGATTTATTTTAGAGACGAAAACGAGTTTCGTTCGAGCTAACCTATTTGTGTCACAAGACCGTGAATCGCATTGGTATTCATGACTCGTAGGATAAGGTGTTGTTAAGGTCAGTTTGATTTCCCTTTATTTATTTGAATCCTATTGTGATGTCCTTTAATGCCTTTTGTTTAAATCTGCGCGTAAAATACTATAAAAATATATAAGTATATCTGTACAGTGCCATTCTTGAATGGTCCGGATGTGTAGAAAGCAGGTCTGATTTCAAGGAGTGTTGTGTTTCATTTGCTATGAAACGCGACATAATGAATCATATCGTTGGAGAGGTACTTTTTGAATCTGATAATCATAGTATTTTCATCATTCAGTCTCTTTTTATTTCTGAGCTTCCTGTCATCTAAGATTAACATAAAATGTTTTTCTGGAAGCAGTAAAAATCGTTTGCTTCCAGGCTGAAATCTGAAAAGAAGTTAAAAATTTATTATGAATTCTCTATAGAAATATTAAAATTTTAAAATTTTCTGTTTGCTTAAAATTGTTATTAATATGTATGTATAATCTTTTCAGATCGCCTGTCATTCGCCGAGAAATTTTCCGCTAATGGAACGGTGGAAGACTCCGCAAGGAACCATATGTAAAACGTGTCTAAATCCATTCGACGAAAGGTCAGCTTTCCCAACCTGTTGCACCATGATCACCCCAAACGGCCATGGCACACCGCTGAAGAATCCTCAAAATCTCACTGCTGGTTGCAATGGTAACATACTAATTAAAAATGGTAACTCAAAGAGCCATATCACTAAGCCTCACATCAACAATGGACACATCAAGAATGGTCATCATTTGGAAAAGAATGGGCATCACTTAGACTTAGTCAAAGATAGTTTGTGTTGCTTGAAGCAATCACAGTCATCACTCAAAAAACAATCGATTGATAATTCTGATGACAAAGATGACTCTTGTGGACTATGGTCTCTGAAACCTAGGTGGCTTCAACCATTTGCGAATAAGAAAGTATTCTTAGCGGTATTCTGTTTAACCAGTGTTCTTCAGGGCATGTATTATACGTATTTTGTGAGTGTATTGACTACAATAGAAAAACTTTATCAGATTCAAAGCAAGACAACGGGTCTGATCATGTCAGCAACTGAAGTCGGCCAAATAGGTGGTGCTTTACTCTTAACATACTATGGTGGACAAGGCCATAGACCAAAATGGATTGCTTGTGGTATGCTGGTGTTTGCTGCAGCGTCCATTTTTTGTGCCACACCTCATTTTTTGTACAGTGATTTAACAAGTTCTGATCGGTCTACCTCAGACACGGAAAATTCATCCACTGTTGCATTGCGGGAGCTTAGAACTAAATTATGCCATAATAAATTAATTTCCAAAAGCGAATCTGCTAGATATATCATTCCACTTGCATCATCAAATTCCTCATCTGACGGTATTTATATTGGTTCTTTCGGCAATTATACTTACGATCTGGGAATAAAGTCTTCTATGCATAACAGATCTTCGCGTTCTGCATATACAGGTAACTGCATCTATTTTCATATTCTTTTTGTATCAATCAATTTAGTGTTAGCATATCATGTAGATTTGTAATCTTAGATAATACGTTTACTACAATTTTTTAAAAGCAAAAATTCAGAATTGATGTTTTATTGAGTCAAAAGATTTTTGTTAGCATTTAATTATATATTTTATATTCCCTGTGATGATATGTGCATATTTTGATGCAGAAAGTGTTTTGTGTCGTATTAGGAATTCATTGTAAATTTTTTTATATTTTCTCTTGTTTTAAAATATCTTTTGATATATGTTAGAGGCATGTCCGACATTTTCATGTCTAAAATTGTCTCCATCACAACAAAAAGCCGTAATTTTGTATATTATGCTAATTAATGTAAAAAATTGTTTCATGGAAAGTTGTTATTTATGCGTTTTAAAATAATATGCACTTTATTTCTGAAACCGCTGAAGTTAACATATATAACTGATAGTGATGAACATAGAATTTTATTTCAAATAGTAAAACATAGATTATTAGTTAATATCATAACCGGTAATAATGAAACGCAGAATTTTATTTAAAATAAGAAAACATAGATTATTTTTTATTTGTAATAAAAAAATTTAATTTGTGCTATAATTTTTCGGATTAGTCTAAAATAGTTAAAGCTCTCTGAATGTTTTTTTATATGGGATCTGATTTTCATTTATCTTGTATTAATTCTAAAAACAATAGAAAATAATATTATTTATAGGCATAATATTCTAATTTATCACCCATTTACTGGTATTAAAATTAACTACGACTGTTTTTACAAAAGGAGAAAAAATAATAATCCTGTTGAGCCATGTCAACGAGTCAGATTTTTTAAGAAGCAAATAGAAACTTAATTTATCAATCAACAAATTAATATAACGGTACTCAGTGGATTCTTTTCAATTCTCTCGTGTGTGGGAAGAATGCTTTCTGATACGTTTGTAACGCATTAATCAGAAGAATGTATTTTTAATTAATTGTAAATAATTTCTAGCTGAACATTAATTCAAAAATGCATAACCGTTATCCTATCTACTATATTTAAAATTATTGTTCTAAGAAGAACCGAGAAATTCTTTCTTCTGCCCCTTTCTCTTGGGTTATTAAATTAAAACTAAAACTTCGAGAACACATTGTAAATTTTCTAATAACTTTTCATTATGTATTAAAAACATATTTGAATCTTAAAAATTCAAAATTATGAAATGCCGTTTGTTTTCTGATTAATCGTTCTTATTGTGATGCACACATAAATTTTCCAAATTTTAATTTTAGAAACACACACTATAACGTCCCCCCTTCACACTCAATAGATATATGTAATGGGATAAATAATTTGGAAGATAGTTGCAGTGAAGAGGTTTTACTGCGTAGTTAGGAGGATTATACTTGAAGAAAAACTAGCAATCGTAGCTACATATAACAATACACAGTTTATTTCTGGAGACTTGATTCTTCTTTATACATCATCATTTTGGATGCGCTATGCAGCCCACAATTCTCTACAGTTTAAATTCATTTCATTAATGGACAAATCAGAGCGATGAGAATGCAATAAGCGAAGCATGAAGAAAGTTCTGCGCAATTTAATTACAGAGGTATTTATAATAGAAAATTTCCTTAATCTGATTGAATAAGAGCCATCCACAGTGCAGGAGGATTACATAAGCAAGCTTGAAACGAATGAATTTTTAAAGATGCAGTACAGAAAGTTATTATAAATAGTATTATCAACAATTTCTAAATTTCGGACAAAAAGGGCATATAGACAAACTAAAATGAGGAATTAAAAGGACTATTGGCCAAATTCACATTTGGACTATTTCCAAATTCTAGACTATTGCAGTTAATAATTTTTCATGTTTTGTATCTTACCTTTTTTATATAGATCATTTTTTACGTTATTCTTTCATTCACTGCAAACTTTCAAATATCTTGTAGTAAAAATTGATGTGTTCATTGTTTTCGATTCAAAATTCGTGTCGTAACAAAGCAGAAACAGTTGCCACTTGAGGGGAATTTCGTTGGAGGTTTAATGCTCAAGAGATGTAATAAAACAAATGCACAGACAAATCTTGAAGAATATTTTTTTTTTGTTTCTTAGTAAACAAATGAACGAGTCTCTACTTTGTTAATTTACAATGAAATAATAGCATAATATATTTTTTTAACCTACGATTTCGCTTTTCCATTTTAAAACCACTCATTACGAAGTTCTATATCTTTAATTTCTGATGAACTAATTTTTAAACTAGTAGGTTTATCGTAACTGTCTTAATTATTTTAAGTGTTAAATTTAAATCTGCATATCATGATTAGATTGTGGTTTATTCTTAATCTTACGACTTTTATACATTTTAAATCTTTTTAAAACTTTAAACTTTTCATGATGCTAAACTATATTATGAAATTTTCAGATTATAATTTTATTGGCATTATGAATTAACAAAATAACAGAAAAGACATTAGATAAAAGCAAAATATGACAATGCTAATGATAAGTGATAGGATTAACACATTGCACCGCCTTTGGAATATTTTTCCTGCTCATAGCTTAGCAATGATGAAAAGCAAACATTAAAAGTAGGAAATTTCAGCAAACACCAAATAGCGAATTATATTAAAAATCACGCACAGAACTGTGTAAATGAAAACCACTCTTCGCAGACTTCGGAAATATAAGTTCAGGATCTAAGCATTAAAATAAATATTATAAAAATATACATTAGTTAGTTAAGAATAAATTCTTATTCACTGAAGTTGTACAATCATTTAACTTAAAATTAAATTCTGTTAACAGTTTGTTTATAGATGTCTTTCTTTCCCGTCTCCTTTTATTAATAGCACATTTAGACAAATAAGAATCAAGTAGCTACATTTTAACACTCCGTAGTTTTTATGCCTTTGAGACTATTTTGGACATTGCTTCCTTTGTTGTCCCGAGAGATTTAATTATTTCCTTAGTTGTGACAAATCAGTTCTTCAACGGTTTGGTTTGGTTTATGAGATTACGGCAGAGCCTGGAGGGCTATCTGCCTAAGGGGAGGGCTTTCTAAAAGAAACTGGCTTTTTTACACTTTACACATGGGAAAAACCATGCATGACTCGGGCCGAATTACCAGTGTTCAGTGACTTTACCGCTCGGCCGTTGGTGGGTCAATTCTTCCAAGAATCGCTGTATTTATTCAATGGTCGTTTTTCTCAGTTCTAAACAAATCCTATGTCTATTAAAAGTATTGAGTAAACTAACTATTCTTAGGCTTTCTGACTATTTTATGTGCCTTACTATTAGATGTAATATTTTAAATAACACGTATAAAATGTTAGAATTTTAACTATCAAATTTTGAGCTGTCATTCTAGGATATGTATTAATTTTTGGATAATATTAAAAAGCATTAAAAAAACTGAAAGCTTACAGATTTTACATTATGTCCAAAGGGGCATTTTTTTAACATTTTGTGAGTTACCTGTATTTATTAAATATCATTTATTAATTTTAAGTTCTTCGCACTTAAACCATAAAATTCAGTTCAACAGAAATATCGCAAAATAATTTTAAAATGAGCACATCTTTAAAATTTTCCAATTCACAGTCTCGCTCGCTGGAGATAAAAAAAAAAAAAAAAAAAAAAAAAAATTCTCGTACAGTGTTGCCATTGTTCGCTTTGAAATCGTTGAGTTTTTTTTTTATAAAAAATCGTTGAAGTTTTATAAAATATGAAACAGATAATAAGACAAATTCCAAATTTGGGCTTCCAGATGCTCATATTCGGGTGGAAAACGTACGTTATTCAAAATTGGATGGCTCTAGGTACCGTCGTTTTATCACAATGCGAAAAACATAATGCATTTATGCAGATTCTTTATTATTTAATTTTTTTAAATATAATACAGGGCTGTAATATTTAGTGGCAACATTCTAAAAAGTGAACCGACATTTCAAGTTTTCAACGCAAAATGCCAAAATGAAATTAATAGCTCTTCTGGGTAATAATGAACTAAACTTCGTAAGAAAAAACGTAAGCTTTATATTCATAAAAGCATTTACTTAAAAATTCTGTTTCTTTGACATGACTTTGAATGGTAAGTTAAACTAAAATACTTTTATTATCTATGTTAAGTGCCATAAAGAGAAATCAAGTAATGCTATAGCGTGCTTTGTCTGTCATTAAAACTTTCTGAGCACTTCGCTGTGGCCTTGGCAAGTGCGTGTACAATTTTAGCTTCTATTATAGCGATGTATTTTTATGGGTTTTTGTATTGGCTTAGTAGGTTGCTTAAAGACATTAAAGAGGAAGAGATATAGAAGTGATCTTTACGGAAGTAGGGCTTTAGGGGAATAGTTGGGAATATTTTCTGGATATATCCAGGAAGTAATCTCTAAACTTTGTGACTCAGCTTAGGAAGAGTTAAAGTCATATGAATTGTACTTTGCAAAACACATACTTAATAGTTTAGTCGCAAATACATTTATACTCATTTATCTGCTTACACGATTAACTGCGCTTACCTATGCATGCGCGTGTCTTTGCTTTAAATATAAATCCGTCGCGTTAATTACTTAATTACTGTTAAATTTGGTAGAATCATGTCAAGTTTGTTTAAAAACAAATCTGAAGTATTTCTAGTGAGCTCCTTGTTTTCTCTTATAAAAAAATCTTATAGAATTTTTCTGAATCTTCAAAGTGATTAGATGATATTAGAAGGCACAAAAAATTTTTACTAACTTAGCAGGAAAGAATCGAAAAGTTGCAAAAAGTAGCATATGTCGTCAGTTATCACGTGATTTGGGTGACGTCATAGTTACATATGTTCATATGACCTCGGGCATCATGAATTCTGTCTTCGTCGGTAAGCTATGGATTGTAATTCGGTTCTTAGTAGTTATAACTATACGTTCCTTATCTTTCTGATGAAAGTTTTAACACTGTACTGCTAATTATCCATTGTTTAAACATTCATTTTTTACTTTTAATTAATTCTCAATTAATTTACATTTTTAAGAGCCCACAGGGGTGATAGTTCAGATGGGCTATTAGTCTCAAAACGGCATTTTACGTTGAATCACTTTTAAAACTTTCATCAAAACTATAAGATACGTAATTAAAACTTCTACGAACCGAATTACTATTCGTAGCTTACTAATGACGACAGAACATGGACCAAACAGAATTGATGACGTCGGATGTCATATGAGCACACGTAATTATGAAGTCACTCAAATCACGTGATAAGTGACGTCATATGCTACTTTTTGCGACATTTCGATTCTTCTCGTGCAACTTTAGTAACAAATTTCTGTCAACACTGATCTAGATGCTAATCTTTTAGTATATATGTAAAGATATGCTCTTTTTAAATTATTTTGTGATATTGCTGTTGAATTGAATTTTATGGTTTAAGTGCGAAGAACATGATATTTAATAAATGAAAGTAACACACAAAACGTTAAAAAACGCCTCTTTGGGCCTAATATAAAATCTGAAAGCCATCAGTTTTTTTTAATATTATTTGTTAAGAATTATTTTTAATTGCATGATTATTTATGCTTAGGCGTGTGATATACAAGTCCATTTCTTCAGTATCGGATTAAACTACTCATTATATTGAAATTTTACAATTATATCTTATTTAGATGACTTTCGCCTGTCATCTGATACCAATGGAACTTCATCAGCCATCAGTCTACCATCTAAGGAAGCGCTAATAATGAAAAGGGATGAATGTGAGGAAAGAAGCCAGTCAGGCACTCACACAAGAACAACACATACGGTGCTAGTTATATTCTTTGCCAGTCTTTTGCTCATCGGTATTGGTGCTACTGCAGTTTATACTCTTGGTATTCCATATATAGATGATAACGTAGCTACTAGGGAATCCCCGCTTTATTTTGGTAAGTTTCTTGATATGCAACAAGTGTACTAAATAAAATGAAAAGAAAGCAGAATTCTCTTTGTAGTTCATAATCTGTTTTAGTTACTAAAATCACTGATTATTATTTTCGAAACAGACACCTCCCTCTCGCTCATCATTTATTTGACACCGTCTTTCATTGTCTTTTCTTTGAACTTAATGAGCAGAATGATTTAGATGCAGTTAAAGAATTTTTCTTATTTTGCCCCTCACTTTGACTGTACAACGAAAAGTCTACTTTAATTGCTTAGTAGGCATAACAATTTATGCAGTTTCAAAAGGAGAAAAAAATTAATTTATTAATTTAAAATTAATTAATTTTTTTAGAGAGGCTGTAGAGTCATTAGGTTATTTTGAAGCAGGAGATGTGAAAACAGCGCAATGTTCTCTTGAACCTGGACCTCTCGAATACGCGCCAAATCTGCTACAGTTACACCACGAAGGCATGCTGGAAGAAGGAAGAAAATGCTTTATATACTTCCTCTTTTAAAGGGTACCTTACATACTATTAATGATCTTGTTTGGATTGCATCTTTTTGCTGAACTTAGAGGGGACTCAAACAAGAGCATAAGGTCTATTTTTAGAACAGGTGGAATCAGGTCGTATTCCTCACAATTGAAAACCTTGTATACTCCCCCTTTTAAAGCGCGACTGGGGATCAGGGGACCCAGTCGCCAAATCCTGGTGGTGACGAATTATTGCCCCCCACGTTTTAGTTCGAGTGCCATTTGTAGAGCCATTAAGTTATTTTGGAGCAGGAGTTGTGAAAAATGTGTGATGTCCTCGCCAGGACTCGAACCTGGAACTCTCGAATACGCGCCGAGTGTGCTACCTTTACATCACAAAGGCATGCTGGAAAGAGAGAGAATGCAGATGTTGTATCGCATGTGATACATGATTTGATATTTAAGAAATAATTTCCTGACTGATTTCTAAGATGTATTTTTGGAATAAATTTTGTGGAAAAATTTTAATAGAGAAAATATAAGGTGTGATTAAAAGCATAAAATAATTCCCTTTCTTCCTTGTAGGTATCACCATTGGAGTTCGCATCTTTGGCCCAGTCTTTGGATTCTTGTTGGGCTCCTTCTGTACCAGCATATATGTAAACTTTCCCTTTGGTATGTATGATATATATATAATGATTTAATTATAGATAAAAAAGTAGTAAATTTAGAACCAAAACATCAAAGGCATGAAAGAAATGAAATATAAAACCTTTACAATCCCTAAATCTCTCAGTAAAAATTTAAAATAAACCCTTTCAAAAACCAGAAGAAACCCAGAAAACAACAGAAATACATAAAAAAGAAAAGGAAGAGGAACACAATTAAAATCTGATTCAATGTTATCAAGAGGAGGTTGTTCATATCCCAACTGAGTCAAATTCTCTAGTTTTAGTAAATTATTTAATTTTAATTTTAATATTAGTAATTGTATATTATGGTTTCAACAGCCATAACATAATTGTGCTCTAACAAGAAACTTTATGAAAAAAGTATATAATATAACTAAAGACAAAATTTGCTTTGTTGGTTAAAAAATAATAAAAAATTTATCAATAGACCTTTTGAAAAAAATCTTTATTTGGAATTTTTATTGTGAACTTATGTAGTCATAATCATGTGGGCATAAATACTGCTTAGTTTAGCACCACCTTAATTCATGATATCCACTATATATGTAATATTGTTTTTATTTATAAAATTCGTAATTGTGTAATCCAAAAATTAGTACTTGTATGAATGTGTATATCTGGATATGTGAGGGGGGGAAGGATGAAAATTTTCCTGCTTAATTTCATGGAAATAATTACTTTAAGTTACATTTTTTTAAAGGGATTATTTGTGAAAATATTGCATAATTCCCTTTTTAATTTTTTTGCAGTATTTTTCCATATCTTAATTCATTTATTAATTTTATAATTAATGAAATTTCAGAAACAACGGAAATCACAACGGACAATCCACAGTGGCTTGGAGCTTGGTGGTTGGGTGTTCTCATAGTCGGAGCAGCCTTAATTTTAACATCCTTTCCAATGATGGCTTTTCCAAAGAAATTACCCAAGCCTTGTCTGCATGGCCATGGACATGTAAAAACTGTCAATCGCAATATTCGTACTGGCGATATTCCAAAATCAAATGATAATGCTAATGGCCTGTTACAAGATAATCATTGCCACCTGTGCCAACAGTCTGCATTTTATAATACTCATAATGAGGATCTGAAGAAGCCAAGTTTGAAAGGTCTGAACGAATTGTTTTTTTTTTTTTTTTTGAAACTTTAAAAAAAAATATTTTTTAAAGCCTTACCATTATTATGCCAACAGTAAGCATGATTATTGTTTGATACATCAATTCTGGATGTATGCATTTTGGGGGAGACAAATTTTACTCAATTTTAAAATCTCATATGCTTTAAGCACATGGAGTACCACAGGGTTTAAACATCTGGGAAGCAAATAAGCCTAGCTACAATATTTTGCAATTTTTCAGTGAAATTCTAGTCACCAAATTTGGCGAGAAATCGCCAAAAGTCGCTGGTATTACGTTTTGGTGTACACCCTAAATGCAAATGAGATGAGATTCAGTATTTTCTTGTATAATTGAATCACAATATTAATATTAATATCAATATTAATAGAAAACCCCATTATTATTGCAGTCTTCTATGAAACAGTTAATAAAAATGATATTGATTTTAAATATAACATGCATGTCTCACCTTCTTCAGGAAAACTTGAACAACTAAGGAGAAAATTCAATACGGAAATGTGATCTCTTCAGGAAAAGAAATTTTTATGGGCTGTGCCAGTTGGTCAGTAAGGCTTAGGGTTAGAAGATAAATTAAGAAAGCAATTTTTTCTAATTACAAAGAATATTGTTTAAAATACCTTTCTTTCTTCCGGCCCATCAGTAATATCTTGAATTTCTTCATTTCTCTTGCTAAACAAAAATATGTTCATTAAGAATAGCAAATTAATTCAGTTTGCAATTCAAATATTTTACCAAAAGATTTTAAAAGATCCTTTCTAGACCACTGTACTCGTTTTCAAACTGCTTTAACCTTTTAAAATGATTTGTCATACAAACATACTTATAAAATTATGATATTAAAATGAATCTGGTTTTGATATAATAATGCCTGCAGTTAATAATAATTCTGATTTTTAATGAAAAACATATCACTATTGTTTTAGCAACCATTTCATTGCACATTTTTTCTTTTTCTGGTATTTGTGATAATTATGTGATCCAATTTCACTTTCAATGCTTTACACAATATTTCTGTTTATAGGCACTGATAATAAAATAGTCTATCATTTCTGTGATAGCAAAAACCATCAGTACATTTTTAGGCTAATTAGGAATTGAAACCAAAGACAGTAAATATATAGATAATTGTTTATAAATAAAATGCTGTAATGTATGACTACAGAATTTAATATGTAAGTAAAGACAATATTTAAAAAAATATTTTAGATTAAATAAAAGAATATTATAAGGATAATGGTACAATGTGCTTCAAATTCTAATAAAATTTTAATTCTTTATATATGTTAAAAACTTTCAAAGAATATTTGTTGAACAATATCTTTGGAGAATTCGCCTCCAGTTAAATGGTGTTTGTGACACTAGGGTACCTGGGTATAGGCCCTACCTCTTTTAGAATGATTAACAATTTTGAATGATAAAAGGCAATAATCTAAAAATAAACATTATAATTTTTTTATATATTTTAAATCATAAGTTTATAATAATAAGTAAAGCTGGGAATGTAAAGCATTATGCAAAAGGAAAATCGAATGGGAAAAAACTCAAATATAACCAAAATAATAAAATAAAAAGCTCAAAGCCGTTGAACTGTGAAGTATGTAACTATAAGAAAGAAACATGATAAGGCAGTGCAAAACTATTAACGCTCTGAATCCATCAATACTTACTGCAGTAACTCATTCTGTAGCATAATAAATACATAATCAAGGGCAAGTCATCAATTAAACACTCAATTAAAATAGATTAATTTTTTATATCACAAGAAAAGTGATTCATGCATTTTACTTTATTCTCTTCCCATAATCAGATTTCCCATCAGCCATCAGAAGGTTACTAAAGAATGAGATCCTTCTATACCGGACAGCAAGCAGTGTACTTCACATTCTCCCTATTGCTGGATTATACACATTCCTGCCCAAATACCTGGAGAGTCAGTTTCAACTTACAGCTACAATGGCAAATATGATATCTGGTAAAATTATGATATTATTTAAATTATAACTAGAATCAAATCACATGTTCATTTCTGAAGTCTTATAATCTGTGAATGTAATAAATGATAATTATCAAAGGACTTCCAATCAAGAACATTATGTTAAATTAAGAGTATCTACTAAAGATTACTATAAGCTCATACTTTTTTAGGAATACATTCAAGACAAGTTAAATTTAAATTGAAATACTCAAAAATTAGTGCTTTAAATATTTTGAGAGAGGTTACTAGCTAATAAAATTGAATTCCAAATTAACTCTGTATTGCAAAACTTCACTCACATTGGAAAAATCTCCAAGAATTTGAAAATCAGTGCATCAGTAACTCTTAGCCAGACATGCAAATTATAAAAATTAACCATTGAGTAAATACATAGAGAAGTCCATGAAAAATGTACATCCTGAAATAGTTAAAAGGTACATTGCTTGACTGCTGTGCTAATTTAGACTTCTAAGCTGTAGCATTTGCATTAGCAAATGAGAATGTAGTGAAGGCCCAGCAATAATATAACCAGTCAGTTTGACATAGGTCACAGTACTGCTTTCAGGAAGAGGACTGATTGTACTAATGAATTATTCAGTATGATGGTTAAAGTGATGAGAGAATTAAGCAGTGCTGTAACAGTAATTCTAACAGAGCATTAAGCAGTGCTGTAACAGTAATTCTAACAGAGCATTCATAACTGTCATTAGAATAACTGCAGGCCTAGGATGAACACCTTCTCACAAGGATCTTGCAGTAGTTAGAATTGCTTTAAGTACACCAACAGTTTCATTGCCTGCCATTAAGAACAACTTACCTGTGTCTCCTAAATATATGGCATCATAAAGTAACATTGTAAGAAGGTTGGCAAATGCTGGACTTTACTGTTGGTGTCCACAGTGACATATGCCAACACCTGATTATTGACATTGCTTACTCTGGTATTGCATCTGTGAAACACGAAATATGGAGGATTGGAAAAGTGAATGAATTTTACTTGGCTTAGAAGATAAATGAATTCATGCATGGTAGATGTCTTTCCAATGTTGCTCATCCTACATCATTGTGGAGCAAGATACAACCATAACACCTGATGACATTATACCTTGTGGACAGGCTACATTCATCATATAGACATATTTAGTGATACTTTTCATCTCTTTAGCACCTGATGAAAATTAACAACTTCCCAAAACTTGTTATATTTTCAGTGTTATAATGTCTGTTGGGGCCTTTCAGCAATATAATGCATGTTTCTACATATGGCAAATGTAGTTCACAGCTTTCTTCAACTTACCAGATCTCAGACCTTTCCCAAAACTAAAGAGGTGTGACAATTATTATAAGGTACTAATTACAGTGTGCATGAATTTGCTGAGCAAGTACGAAAAATCTCCCAGCAAATTCTCCATAGGACAGTATTTCCACATGAGTCCACGCCAAATAGAGTATTCACCGCTGTAAGTGCTTGTGATACTAACGTGTAATAGTTCTGGATTTACGTTTGTTAAATTAATAGATCAACTGCTGTTAAATTTTTAATAAAACATAACTTCTTCCTTTTTTCATTTCAATCACCTTATCATCATTATTGCCAAAATCCCACAATTTTTCTGCATGCTCGAATTTTTGACACACAGTGTGTTACATTTCCACAATTGTTTATAATTTATGTAAATAAAATAGTCTTTTTCTTTTAATTAATGTATTAATAGTATGTTATATAATTATTGCCAATTTTCATGGGAATATTTTTATACTGTTTCATATTTACATCATCTGGCCTAGACTGTTCTTTGTATATATACTAGACATTCTTTGTTTCAGAAAATTTATATTTCTCATCATTTGTAAATATACAAGTAAAACAATTGGCAAATTGATTGTGTTCTTAAATAAACAATCTGATATATTAAATCTTTCATCTTTGACATATTTTATTATTATGTTATGATGGCATAATTTTAAGCATATGTTCTTATTTTCAATCATTATTGTTTAGGAATCGCTGGGATACTTGTTATGGGTGTTGGAATTTTTGCCAGTGGAACTTTTATGCGTAAATTTAAACCTAATGCAAGATTTGTGGCTCGTTGGATTGCCCTTTCAGCCTTGTTATATGCTGTTGGAATGATGATTCTCATGATATTTGGATGCCCTCTTAACAGTTATGTTGGATTAAATGTTGGAAGGTAATATTTTGATGGATTCTTTATATGTTTATATTGAACTATGTTATCTGTTTATAAAAGCTTGTAAACACAAATTTTTAAAATAATTATCATTTGATTAACTAAACTACATATTATTTTAAAGGACATTAATGAATTTATAATATATATCTAGATATATTAATCTAGATTTAATTTATTAATTGCATTAATAAACATACTCATAATTAAAACATCTGTATACAGATTAAAGAATCGGTATACAGATGTTTTAATAAGCCTTTAGGTACTACATACATCATTTATATTATGAAATGAAAGCCCTTAGGCACTAAAGGCTTTCATTATATAATCGCTATATAGTATAAATATCACTATTATTTGTAATTATTATATAATCAATCCCTTAGGTATTATTATAATATGTTATATTCCCTTGGGCACTATGTATATCACTAATATTTTGAAAGCCCTTAGGCACTACCCCTTAGAGGTATCACATATATCACTAATAGCCTTTAGACACAACATACATCACTAAATATTTTGAAAATGAAAATTGGAAGCAAAAATATTTTTAATTTGTAAGTATTTCTGACTAAAATTTATGTCTGTATAGTTCCACAGAATTTGCTGTTATTTTGCTATGAACTTGATTGATTATAAACAAATATCATAGCGAAAATTATAAAACTCCCTGATGATAACAAATTAAGTGTTCAGCTCAAATTTAACATTAAAAAAAAAAAGTTTGCAATTTTCCTAAATTGCAATCGAGCAGTTTTCCTAAATTAAATATACTTGAGAGGAGAAACACATAATTTATTGTAATAAAATGCAGTTTCAACTAAGAAACTAAATTTTAAGGTAATTTATTCTTATTTTCCTGTGCATCTATCTAAGCATGTTCATTCTGATATGAAATAATTCTAAATAAAGTGATTTTTTTTTCAGTGAATATGAAGATACTTCTCAGTTAACATGCAATGAAACATGTGGCTGCAAACCAGGGGAATTTGCTCCTATTTGTACTAGTGAAGGTGTCACGTATTTATCCCCATGTTTAGCAGGATGTACTGAAGTATCAGGCTCTTCTTATGATGAGGTAATAAATAAATAATAATAAAAATCAGATAAAATTTTCATGAAGCAAAAATAAATGTATGTAGGTTATTTTTGGTAAGGTCTGTTTGTGAATAACCTTTAACATTTATGCAACTATGACAGTAAGTGTGCACACAGGGTCCTGACATTCTGTGCACAGAATCTGATGTCACTTATTACATTTACGGCATGAAACTGTATACTTCATAATGTAAAGTTAGGAAAATTGAGTAGCCTGTCAACTGTAAAATATTGTTAAACCAGCTGTAAGAAACATGAAAGCAATGGATACTCATTGCCAGATGTGTGAAGTATACAGTGACAATTCAATTAGTGGCAGTAAATTGTAAAAATGGGTGAGGTTATTCAAGGGAGGTCAACATACTGATGGAGAAATGAAAATAACTGTGCATAAAGGACTATTGTCACAGGTGGGGAAAGTTCTGTGAAGAGGGTATTCAAAGACTCTTTGTTCATTACTATAAAATGTTCAAACCAGTGAGGAAATTATGTAGAAAAATAGAGTATTTTATGCTAATTAAAAAAATTACTTTTTTTATTACAAATCGGACCTTACTTAAAAAGTAATTTCATATGAACAATAATTTATGTATTGTTTTTTCAGAGTTACTGGTACATGTTTGATGTATTTAGAGCAAAAACAATTTTTATGATGCAGAATTTTTTAATTGTAAAATGCTTAATTATATTCTTTTGCTATTTGGTAATGATCAGTGGTTTTTACATGGAGTGATTTTTACATAGTTGGTGTGATGCATTTCTTTCTGCAAATGATCAATTATTAAGTATTTTATACCTAAAATATGCATTTTTATTGTAATCTCTGCACTGTAATAGAAATTAAATTTACTAAAGAGAGACATCCTCGACTAATAGATGTATATTATTTATTTTTAGTACATTTACAAAGACTGCTTATGCTTGGGTGCAAATGTGACAGCAACCAATGGATTTTGCCCATTACAATGTGACAGTTTACTTCCATATGTTTTTGTCTTTGCTTTGTTTGTCTTGATCCACTCAACTTCAGAAGTTGGATCTATGCTCCTTACTTTAAGGTATTTTATTAGAAAGTACTAACATATTTGAATTGCCAATAAAATATCACTACATTGTATATGAAAATTATTGATATCAGCTTTTCTTTACAAACATTTTTGCAATGTTATTGTTTAATTATTTTTAATGCATTAATATTCAGATAATTTGGAAATTATTTCTGTTTTCTTTTAACCTGCTTTAACATTCTCTCCTTGATGGTCATAATGAAAGGTTCTCATTTTTGTCTAAAGTTTTATATATTTTTAAAGTTTTAAAGAAAGCATAGGCTGATCTAATACAGAAATAAGATGAAATAGCTTGTAGATGATAAAAATGTATGCAAAAAAAAAAAAAAAAAAAAAAAAAAAAAAAAGTTACGTGCACATAACTTTGATTTTGCTTTAAAATATTTAAAATGATGGACTTAAGTGTCTGTTGTATTAAAGTAGACAGAAATTTTTAATAAAGGACATGGATTCCACTAATAATATATAAACTGCCCCATTACAGCATAAATCATTAATTTAAGAGTGATAGCTTAAATGACCTTAGTCATTATTACACTTAGAAAAAATAATAAAGTAGTTTTTTTATTAAAAAGTATTTAAATTTCAGATTTTGTTGATGTCTATGATTAAAGTCAGATCCTGATGTATATCAGGATTTCTAAAAAAAATATTGCATCATTATCATATTTTGTGCTATCTTAGTCTGATTACTATTATAGTAACGAATTGTATTTTTGTTTCAATACTTATAATATTAAACTGCATTTTAAAATATTTTAGATGTGTTGAACCAAAGGATAAAGCTATGGCATTAGGACTGATAGCATTTGCCATTGGGCTGTTTGGTAAGTCTAAATCTCATTTTCCAATTCCATTTAATTTGAAAAGGTATCTATTATGTAATTTTCTGAAATGCTATTTAAAATTTAAAGGCTTTAGTTAAATAGTATGAAGAAAAATCTTCATTTTTAAATGTGTCTGTCTGGAAGCAAAACTTATAATGTAGAAATTATATAAGTTTATTAATTAATGTCCTCAATACAAAATTTTGATTTCTGGTTTATTGTTGATTGTATTTTATTGTTAGATAGTGTTTTCATTTTTTCACACTATAGGTGTTTGTTTTCAGACAATTCTGCATTTTTACCTTTATGCCAAGTATGTTTTTTGATTCTGGCCTTGTTAAGACTGGGTTAATTATGTACAATTTAAATTGTTTTATCCTGATTAAATTTTTGAAGTTTATATTGGTAGCTTAGAAACAGGGTAATTTTTTATTTTAAATTTCTCAAGACACCAAAGTTCCAATAATGTCCCAGGAAATGTAAAATTCAATTGCTTTTAATCGTGTACAAATTTTTGTTTATTCACATATTTTGAACTTTTTGAAGTGAACACTTTATCAAATTTCGGTTTTGCTCAGGTTTAGTTATCTTGTGTTTTTTGAAACTACTCTCAGTTTTTTATTTTAACGTACCACAAAATTATTTAATTAAATTTTTTTTTACTTTTATCAGTTTGATGTGGTAATGATTTCCATTGTTTTTTTATACTGATTTCTTCCGGTTCTATGTTAACATATCTAAATATGATATTTAAATTTGCTTTAAATTTTACTGTAATTTAAAAATATATATGACTTATAACTTTTTGAAGTGAACACTTTATCAAATTTCGGTTTTGCTCAGGTTTAGTTATCTTGTGCTTTAAATTTTACTGTAATTTAAAAATATATATGACTTATAACTTTTTGAAGTGAACACTTTATCAAATTTCGGTTTTGCTCAGGTTTAGTTATCTTGTGTTTTTTGAAACTACTCTCAGTTTTTTATTTAAATGTACCACAAAATTATTTAATTAAATTTTTTTTTACTTTTATCAGTTTGATGTGGTAATGATTTCCATTGTTTTTTTATACTGATTTCTTCCGGTTCTATGTTAACATATCTAAATATGATATTTAAATTTGCTTTAAATTTTACTGTAATTTAAAAATATATATGTAATATATAACATTTCGTTTTTCCGTCGTTATTCATATGGTTCATCCACTTTGAATTTAATTATCTCTGATGTATATAGGGCTAATATATTTTATTTTTAAAAGCACTCTTAATTATAATTAAATTTCAAAGTGACGTTTGACTATAAAGCAAACTAAAATGAAATCTTGGATTTCATAATGTGAATGATAAAAAAAAAAAAAAATTAAGCCCTTACCCCCTGAATCATGTGGGTTTAAAATGATTCAAAACTATTACATTAATTTACTTTCAACTTTTCAGCATTTTGCTATTCTGCATTTTGTTCTTTTAGCCTCAGGCTCACTTTCATGAAGTTTTATTAATTTGTTTTGTTTACAATATCCATAGTCTTGAATATTTAAGAATGCAACTAAATTAATTTTTTATCCTTGTGAGTAGTAATTCATGTTCTTAATTTGCATTGTTTACCCAATTTCTTCTATTTTAGACTTGATTGTAGTTTAGAAAATCTTAATTTTAATTCCATTTCATCATTATCTGGCATTTTCAACTACATTTTCAGAGTTTACTGATACTCTACATTTTGAAAGAAAGTGCTTTATTTTATGCTTTAGTTTTTTTTTTTTTTTTTTTTGGTTGTTCAGATCAACATAGGAGGTTGTACTGTGCGATTGTGTTGAATTAATCACTTTTATTTTGTTTTTTCAGAATAAAATTGCATTGTATCAGAAAATGTTGATCTGTCCTACCAACTAATTAGAATAGGAAATTGAATTATTTTTGTCCATCCCACTGACAAAAGCAAAAAATGGTTCAATCTAACTGTTCTAAAATTTTGACCTTGGCTACTTCACTTTTGATAGTTCTAATTTTGTTTTTCTGGTTCTCAACTTTTCTTTTGTATTCTCCAGGAAGATTATAATTTTTGTATTTAATATAATTTAATTACTGTGTAGATTTTTGCTCTAAATTCCTAATTATTCCTTTTATTTAGATAGCTTTTATATTTAAAAATTTTTCTTAATTCCTTTTCCTCTCTATACAGAGAGAGGAAAAGGAGAGATGTCACATCACAGCAGGTTATATCTTGGGGATTAATTAAATTATAAAAATTTACATTGTTGCACTTTATTTTAATTTCATTAAATCATGTTAATTGACATTTTATTTTGAAATGTGTCCAGTAATCACAATCATCTACATCTAATTCAAAAATGTGGCTGCACTGAAAATTCTTTGTCACCTCCTTAAAAAAAGACCAAGGAATTTTCAGTAATTTTTTATATATTTTTAATTAGTTTTATTAAGTTTATAGTATGGCTTTTGTTTTAATTTTGATATGTGTATTTCCTACTAGAAAGTTCCCCTTTCATGATCTAATTTTGATTTAATGATTATTACTTGATTACATATATATATTATGCTATTATATGACACAGCCTTATAAATTTTATAGGCAATGTACCTTGTCCAATCATTTATGGTGCTGTAGTGGACTCAGCTTGTTTATTCTGGGAGGACAATTGTGGAGAACCAGGCGCCTGCCGTCTCTATGACCCGTCCAAATTCCGTGCTGTTTTCCATGGTGTCACTGCAGTAATTATGCTGATGGCATTTTTTGTGGACATAATTGTCTGGTACAAAGCAAAGTCCATTCAGTTTCAGGATGAAGACATTATAGAAGATGCAGAGGAAGCAGTTCCTTTTAATGAAACACAGTTTAACACACAGCTGGAAAGCAGTGTATGATTTAATAGCACACAACTGTATGATCAAAGATTTTAAGATGCACACAGGGATGAGCCTTTTTTTATGAAAATGAAATGAGCAGCTTCTAGTGTCATGTGAACAAGTGTGACTTTTTTACTTGTTTTGAGAGTTAATTTATCATTATGGGCTGAAATATCAGCAAAAACTGTTGTTTATGTCATTAGATTCGGTGAGAAAACAAGTTTTCACATACTATAAGATGTTGCTTCTCTGCTGAATATTATGAAAAATCTACAGCTTTGTTTATGCACAATGAATAATTGCTTATTCCTGGCCTGTACAGAGTGAATGCCCAACGTGTTTTCCTTGATGTTCAGAGATAGTTGCACTCTGAGCAACATGACTGTTTCATGTTAAATGCATCTTCAAAGATTTTTTTTTTATTTATTTTTTTTTAAATTTGGTGGTTAATATGAAAACAAAAACAACTGTGTTCACTGCATTTGCGAAACCACTATTCTCCATCTTAACTTTGTTGTTCATGTGCTTTTCTGTAATTTATTTATTTTTTTAAATATAAGATTAAATCTTTTGAAATGAAAAATATTTGCTATGAAAGGTAAATAAAAATTCTATTTTTAAAAAATAGTTTTACATATTTGAGATTTTTTGTTTAATTTTTATTTTTAAATAGCTAAAGTTAATATTTTCTCATTACACATATTGTAAGGCTAACAAATCATTTAAAAGGTTTTATTGGTTGATTACATTCACTTTTTTGCAAGATTGAAAAAGTGTTCTTGTAAAAATTCCACTGCAGTGAAAGAATTAGGATTATGTTAATGAATTGATTGAAGTGTGCTTAATAAATGTAGTCATGGAGATATAAAATGATGGATATAGTGAAGCCAAAACTAAAAAGTATTGATGTTTTAGAATTATAAACAAATATACATTTAAGATCATTAATATTTTTTCATATCATCGGCCTGCAAAATGCTAACATATCTAAGCCAACTCCAAGTTTTTTTCTAAGGTTAATGTGTCAGAAAAGGACTACCACATATGTTTTAGTAACATAATCATGAACAAGAACTTCTCTGCTGTTTTTCTAAGCATTTGCAAAATGTTTGTATATAGTAGTACATAATTATATAAATATAAATATTCATACTGATATATACATATATATATATTAACAATTATGGTCATGTGATGTAACATTCATCATATAAACACATTGGTTGTAATTATCATGAACCAGGATGTTTGATTCACGTTTTTCTGTAATTTATAATATTGGATTTTAGATTATGTTCAGAACTATTAATATTAAATTCATATTGAAATGCAAATTTTTATTACCACTATGTGATTGAAGTTATGAAATATGTATGATATTTAAGTAAAGTGAGTTGTGAGATTTATGAAAATAAGTTATTTCTTCATCCAAATTTGTTCTTGTTCTATTTGAGAGTTTAATAATTTAACATAAATTAAAAATGTTATGTATTTAACATGCTAAATCAAATTTTGTGCCTTTCTCTACAAGACTGAAACATTTTATTTAACACTGTATAAAAGTAAAAGTTATAAATATGTTAAGTTCTAAAAATTGTATAAACTTTACCCAAGTAAAATAAATATTTAGTGTTAACATTTTTAAAAGTGTGTTTGACATGTACTTTTAACAAACTTAGATGACTTACGAAAATTGTTTTACTAGAAATGATAGGTATAGTGAATAATCGTAATTATAGTGAATAATGTTTTTCATGTTAAATTATCCTTGTGGAATATTTTCATAAACTTATTTTATATGTCCTCAAGTTTTCGTTGTAGTAGCGTTTTTCCCCGATTTCTTGATTAGACAGTTTAGATTTTGTATAATTTCCAACACTGCTCCATTTTAAGTAAAGAATGTTAAAAATGATATGTAAATTCAATCTCTTTGTATTTTTAGAAATTACTGTTTAAAAGTATGAAAGTGAAGAAATGTGTAGAAAAATTTAAAGGCTTTGATAAATTAAGCATGTTTCGTACAACTTTTCATTACATGTGAACCATATAATAGTTAAGATATAAAAGAGATATGATTTGTTACAGTTGATTAGATTTTACTGGAACTAACATTTTGAACATCCTGGATTCTCTGATAAGTGTGATTTTGTAAAGTCATTATTTTAAAATATAAGAGCCTTTTTTTGGCAATTGATGGTTCCTACTTAGGCTCAATTAGTTAAACAGGTATGATTTTTTTTTATATTAAATACTCAGGGGAGAGGCTTTACTGATAACTAATTGGGTCATAACTATATTCTCCAATTAATATTTTGATGATTGATAAAAAATGCAGTTTGTTTCATATTACATATCATCACAGAAATATCTTTAACAAATTTTAAACAACTTGCACACTTTTCAAATTTTGAGATAATTATATTTCTTCTATCATACTCTCATTTAATATATAATTTGAATATGCCAAAATAATATAATATTAGAAGGCCAAATATAATTTAAATATGCTGTCAATGACAATTGTAAATAATATTTGTGTTTCAGATATAAGATTTAATGGGTTTGCTTGTGCTTTTTTTAACCGTTAATTATGTGTTTCATAATTCTTAAGTTGTAATTTGGTAATTATTAACTAAGCATCTGATCACAAAATCATTACATTTCAAACCTTAGGCCATATTATAGATGTATGTAGCTAATGACATTAGACTTGCCATCCCCCTAAATTCTTGCATTGCCTAATATCTGAAGTGGTATTGATAACAAAATAATTCAGATTTGTTGTTTAAGCATCTAACTTTAACAAATATTATTCTGTCTACTAATTTAATGATTTAGAATGGATATAGCAAAATGAACTAAATGTATAACTGACATACAAAATGACCTCTTGCAACACCAGTAAAGTTTTATCTATCCATTTTGTTTCTGCTGAATTTTTGACATCAAAACAAAAAGTGTGCTTAATCTAATTAATTAAATTGTGATGCTTTTATATTGATCATATTTGTCCGAATGCCAACTGGTTTATTCAAAGAATTGTTTTTGTGCTTTCTGATTATTTATAATCCAATTTTAATATTTGTATGAATAGCCATATTTTCAAACATACATGCAGTAATCAGTCAGTCATTGCCTGTGCATCCCACATAGATGGATATTATTTTTGCCAATTCGTAAAATCATCATAATCAGTACATATTTTGTGTGGATGCAGATAGTGAGAAAGTAATGTATTTTCTTTAGAATGAATATATATAATTTGAGTTTGAGAAATAGATTGAGAATTCATATTAATGGTTCATAATGCATTTAAATGAAAGTTACCTTTGGCTTTATTTAAATGGAAAACATACATATTCGTATAACTATTGTATTTCACAAATTATATTTTTACATTTGACTCATTCACTCCATGGTTTAGTAATAGACATAAAAAGGCTTTGAAAACCTGTAGACTCAAAAATGAAATTTTTGTAGGAAAGTTTAAAAAAAGAGAGACAGAGGTTTTAATAAAAAATAAACTTACCTTATAACTAGTGGTGTCCACCAAAGTTAGAGAAGTGCTGCTAAATATTTATTTATCTATAAAATAGGAGTTCACTTGAAACCATCATATATATGATGAACTAACAAAATTATCAGAAAAATTAATTAGAATTTTTATTTTTCTAAATCTGTATGCATAAATTAAAACAAAATACAATACAGCAATTGGGATATTATTCATTCATTCATTTATATAGTGAGGTAAATTAAATAATACAAATCATTTTTTAACAAAACTTAGTTTTTAATAAATCAGTCTGTACTTTTATTCCAAATTATGATACAGTTATATATTTTAGCTCAAACTTCTTTTTAAATATAACTTACTTATGCGATTTCTATAATTTCTGAAAGATATTTTTCTCTTCATATTCGTTTCTATTATTATATAAGAATAAACATTATAGAAAATTATATAAAAGCACTTAAATGTTGTTTTTAGGGGGATGTTAATATGATATTTATGTGTACTGGCTTATAGGGACTTTTGTACAAATTTCATGAATAGGCATATTATCACTGTAAAAAAATTCATAAGTGTACATCATGTTAAAGTGTTTGAGAGGTCATATATTGGTGTAGTTAAATGTGACCAAATTTTGTTTGATGGTAAAGGATTACTAAAAAACTTAAGTATTTTATATAGTTTCTGTACTGGGGATTTTGCACACAATTTTAAAAATCACTTTCTTTTTTATGAATCCCTTCTATAAAGTAAAAATGTAAATCGTGATAGAATGTTTTACCTGTTAAATCATTTGTGTTTGTTGAATGTGAAGTTTATAGTTGTTTAAGAATGAATGATCAATTCTACATTCTCTGTGTTTATTTCATGAACTTAATATCTGTTTATTTTGTTTATACTCAATAAGAGTATTTGTGCCATGTTTTGTTGTATTATTTCATCACTTCATAATAAGAAACCACTTGTGAAATAACCAATAAAACTATTTTATTGTAAATATAGTACTTATTGGGAAACAAAAGAAGACTCAAGAGGATTATTTGAACAGAAACATTCTGCATGTAGCATATAAAACTTTATTTAAAGATATAATGTAAATAAATAGAAAAGATGCCTAAAATATCATAAGGAATATAAAAATAAATTCAGAATCTTGATATAATTTAAATATTGATCAAAGTACTTGTTGAGACAGTGAAATTAATACGCTATGATTGACATCAAAATCTTTAATTTATTTAAATGCTGATCAAAATATTCACTGGAAAACAATAAAAAAGCACTATATTTGCTCATACAAACTTATATAGATAAATATAGATGATAAAATCTACAACTAGGCATTCTTTTTTAAAAATAAAACTGAATTAATAAAATTGAATAAAGAAATTTGACTTTTTACTTATACTATATTCTATTCTTGTGAAAGTTGTTTCAAATGTTTTCTGCTTTCCAGACAGTCTATCTGATAAAAAGATACTGATACAAAGAAATAAAGATTGGACTGAAAGTAGTAGCATATAGAATAAGTTATTTTGTTAAATTCCAGATATTTTTTGTGCAACGACTGATGAGAATTTATATACTGCCTGAGACATGTTTCTTTGATGCTGCACTTTACTATTCTAAAGTGAAAGTAATAGAAGAAATTTTACATTATTAACTTAAGCTTCATCACATTTTACCACCACGTTTTACGTTTTCCTTATTGATGTGGAGTATTTAAAATAATGTCATGAACTAGCAGTACACACATAACATTTATTATTCTACTGAATAATTTATCTTTTGTTGTCAAATCCTAACATTGTCAATTTCTAAACATTTGCAAAAAATATAAAAACATTTACTTTATGTTACTAAGCAGTAGAACACAAGCATGTCATAATTTTGAAATATGGTAAAAGAAAATTGTACTTTTTAGAAACTTAACAAGTGGTTTCTCTTGATGTGAAAAACATCACATGTGCTCATTAAATTCACCTTACAAACATAGTTTTTTTTCATATAGTGGAGCAATTCGTAGAATGTTATTTCGCTCTATGGTATATCAAATGTTAACTATTTCAATACTTACTTATTCTGTTCGATATGCTTCCAGCAGTCATGCATTTAAAATGACATAAAAAGCCACAAAGGGCTAAATGCAAAGAAGACGGTGAATTTTTGTTAAAGAATAATTCAAATTCAAAGAATTTTTAAGCATTGTTCTATATGATGAAATGTGTATTTTATGTTTGAATGTCTAGTGTACAGATTCTGAAAGTATTTTGCATGTATTTCTATGTTCTGATCATGCATTTTTTATGCTCATTGTATGTTAAATAACCAACAGTTCGGATTTAATACTGACTCAAATGCTTAAAACAGCTAAACTGATCAATAAATTATTACAGGAATATCTCAGTAATAAAACTACAAAATTGAGAGACTATAAAAAATAAGTATATATATTCAGGGCTTTCTTCCAAAATTATGGTGAAACCCTTAAAGTCTGGCAGGAAGTATGTAAAAACACAAATACATAAAACAATAAATAATGAGAAATTAAATATGATATTTAGATGAATAAAGAAAAATAATATATTACTGCTAAATGTATAAATAATAAATTACAAAAAATAAGCATATCATAAAAATGAAATGAAATCATATCATAAATGTGAAAGTGTAAAAAGTAATGACATAAAACATAATATCAAAGATAAAGTAAGTATTTTGAAGAGCATTTCAATTTGTTTGGAGTTAAGAAGTTTAATTTGTTTAAAATTCTTATTCAAATGTTAATATTATCTGTAAATGAAAAATATCTACCATGGATAATCTTAATGAAGGCATATATTATCAGAAATTAAAACTGTTAAATATAAATGTATTAGTGTTACGGAATACTAAGATTTACATCAGTGGCATCTCTATTACCAAAATACAATTTTAAAAAAAATCCTGAAATTTAGATTATGCAACAACTTATACTCAGATGTTGTACCTTCCACCATGTTTTTAGTATTTATGAGTTTGTAACTGGGCAGATATAACCCCTCATTCTCTGGACTTTATATTATTTGTATCATACATACACTTGAAACACAAGCATGAAATAAAAAAAAATAAAAGTTATTTTTACAATCTTAACAATTTATTAAATTCATATCGCAAAGAATGTTACATGTCTCTCAGTTTAAAAATGAAAGCTTCCTAACAACTTTCTTTTTATTTTTAAAAAAATTGGTTTTGCAATAACTCTCATTTTATATGAACTAGTTGACATGACAATATTATGTTATCAGTTAAAAATTTGCTGTGTGTCATAAAAACAATGTCATTTTATTATTATTCATGTCAACTAGTTCATATAATATAAATGAATATTTTATTAACAGCCTGATTAAATCAACAAATAAAATGAGGAAATTAAAATGGAAATTTTTATTATTACTGTCAAATTTTAAATCCAGATGATAAAAATCAAATTGTTATCAATATGTATGAAGTTTAAAAATATTTACTACAATAAAAAGTACTGAATGTTAATTTAAAAATAAGTAGAAAAAATTATTAGTGCTTGTACAGAATTTTTTATATGTCTGTCCATTTGTTCCAAAGTTAACATTTACTGTTGTTGATGCATGTCAGCCAACGTGTAAGCCATCTATGTGAAATTTTTACTTACTTCTATTATGTTGCTTAGGATAAACTGAGCTAAAGAATTTATTCTCATAATAATTCTAGAGCTCATTGTATTACACAGGGAAAATCATGACTTTTTTTATTACATTGTTTGTCTTATTTTATAAAATAAAATATAAAATATGGCTTTGGTGTTTTTTTAAAAACATTTGCATACATATGTATTATTCTTTGTCTCAGTACAAGTATCATACAATAATAATAGTACATAAAATAAAATTTTTAAGTATATCTGAATAAGAGTTGGGAATACCACAATCTCTATATTATTCCGATATAGAGGTAAAAATTATTTAATTTTGACTATGTATATTTAATAAAAGTGCCTCATGCAGCCTATTATTTCTCTAAATTAAATTAATAACAGAATTTTAGAATTAAATACAATAAATGAATAAAAAGTAACATTTTATTTAAAAAAAACACTCAGAAATAAATATGCTTGCTGGGTAGTAATAAATGATGTAATTTTTTCAATACAAATTAAATTTTTTTTATAAATTAGCCAATTTCTCACTATCTCAATACTATATTACAGTGCTTACATGACTTGAAAAGTACTGATTGCATCCCACTTTTACATAATTTATAATGACTTTAAAACTAATCTATTTTTGAAAGATCAGATCAGACCACATAAGACCAAAATAGACATGAAAATTAAGTTTTCTGAAATAATATTTTAGCAATTTTTGGAGTAAATTAGTAAATAATAAATACAGTTTCCACATTTACAGTACTACCCTCTATTTAAATACTACTTCTCATACACAGAGATGATGATTATAAAAAGACTTCATTTCCATAAATGCTACTCATCTTTGCATTCCTCATTTTGAGGATATGCATTCCTCAAAATAATAGCAGAAAATTTTACGAATGTGATTTCAGCATCAAGGGTGTGAACAATCTAACTTTTTACATGGTATACATAGATCAAAAAGTTCATTAGCAAAATATTAATTATATCTCAATAAAAAAACATGCAAAAAAAAATTCTTCCTTTAAGTGCAAAATTCATGGAGATGTAGCGATCTCAAGAACATCTCAACGTTCGCAAAAGTTGAAAGAGTTGGAATTCTTGAAACTAGCACAATGAACTTCTTTTGGGCTAGCGGTAAAGAATTCTTCTTGTAATAAACCGACCCAGGTTCGGTTCTCAGCCATGCAATGCAGTGTTTCTTTCTGGCATTAATAGATTACAGTGCTTACATGACTTGAAAAGTACTGATTGCATCCCACTTTTACATAATTTATAATGACTTTAAAACTAATCTATTTTTGAAAGATCAGATCAGACCACATAAGACCAAAATAGACATGAAAATTAAGTTTTCTGAAATAATATTTTAGCAATTTTTGGAGTAAATTAGTAAATAATAAATACAGTTTCCACATTTACAGTACTACCCTCTATTTAAATACTACTTCTCATACACAGAGATGATGATTATAAAAAGACTTCATTTCCATAAATGCTACTCATCTTGGATATGCATTCCTCAAAATAACAGCAGAAAATTTTACGAATGTGATTTCAGCATCAAGGGT